TTAATAAAATATAAATCAATGAAATAATTATTTATTAAAAATTTTTTTTATTATTTTATTTTTAAAAAAATTAGGAAGAATCACAATCTCGTCATCCTCGTAATGGTGATGCGTTGCTCTTGAATCGTCAACCTACTCTTAACAAACCTTCTATTATGGCTCACAAAGCAAGGGAGAAATGACAATCCGAATGCACTATGCAAATTGTAATTCTTATAATGCAGATTTTGATGGTGATGAAATGAATATGCTGGTAATCCTTTGATCCAAGATCACGTGGTTACGGGTGTATGGATGACTTGCAAAGATACGTTCTTCATTAAAGGTGATTATCAACCGATTGTGTTTGCGGCGCTGAGACTCGATCACCGCGATGGAAGAAAGGTTTTGACCGTTCCACCAGTTATTCACAAACCGAAACCTTTATGGACTGGCAAGCAAATCGTATGTATTAAAAAAACCACTCTGAATTTTTTATTTATAAATTACGATTTAATTTTTTTTTATTAGATAACTACATTATTAATAAACTTGACAAGAGGTCTTGCACCTCTAAATTTGAAATCAAAAAATAAAATTTCAGCTAAATAGAAGATACAGTTATTTTCATGGATGGTGAACAGGCGTACTTGATAAATCACAAATTGGTAATACTTCTTTTGGATTGGTTCATTCCTGTTATGAATAATTCTGCCGACATTGCGGGGCAATTTTTAAGTACTTTAGGAAGATTGTTTACGGCTTATATACAAAGATGTTATGGACGATTTTAACTCCTGAAGGAGATATAGAAAGAAAAATGTTGATGGAAAATAATACTGACATTGGAAAATGGGCTGCATTCGAATATATTGGAATGAAACATGTTCTCGATAAATCAGATTTGCCAAATGTTGATAAAGGTTTCAAAAGCTGTCTTTTAATTTTTTTTTTTAAATTCTTGCTCATTACTAAATTTATAACTAAGAATTTTATCGAACTCCCGCAGATTTTAAACATATGTTTTGAGGGATACTGAAAAACATCAAGAATTAGATGCTGTCATGAAATCAAGAGTAAATAGATTGACATCATCAATTATTAGCACTTGTATTCCGAGAGGATTGGTAATTTTCATTTAATGATAAAAATATTATTTGGTTATTCGCTGAAGATATTTTGCGCGTAATTAATTAATTTACTTTATTATAAAACCAAAAAAAAAAAGTTTAAAGGCTTTCCGTATAAAAATATATGCAAACAGATATCTGGTACAAAGGGCACAAATGTTATTGTGGTAAGATTTTTATTTAGATCAAATTTAGATCAACAAAACTAAGCATTGAGATTTTTTTCATAAATTTTATAGGTCAGCAAGAGTCATGTACCAGTGATGATAAGTGGTGAAACTCTTCCGTCGTTTCGACCTTATGATCATTCTGCACGTGCGGGATGGTTTATTAGTGATCATTTTTCTTGACCGGGATTAAGCCTCAAGTAAATGAAGTGATGATTTGCATAGCATTATTTAAAGAATTAATTACAGATTATTCTCTTTTATTTCATAGGAATATTTTTTCCATTGTATGGCTGGCCGTGAAGGTCATATAGATAAGACAAGTCGTTCGGGATATCTTCAAAGATGTCTAATAAAGCATCTAGAAGGATTACGCGTTCACTATGATCATACAGTTAGAGATGTAGATGGCTCGATGATTCAATTTTTTATGGATAAATTTCAATTTAATGCTGAAAATTACAAAGCATTAAATACAAAAATGTGATATAACCCAAGCACCGTTATTATTCGATATTTCAAAATCTTCTCTTCATGCAAAGAAAGCTTTTAAAAAGCCTGAGAAATATGATCCGGTACTTTCAGAATACTCTCCGAGCAGATATCTAGGTTCTGTTTCTGAAAATTTTCATAATGCATTGGAAAAGGTATTATTAGTTACTTTATCTTTGATATTTATGTTTAATACGATATCAAATTTATCGAATCCATTTTAATTGTCATAAAGTACGTAAAGGGGAATCCTGATAATCTATTTGGTGAATCCCTCGAAGAAAGCTCATTGTTTGGACCAGCATTTATAAATCTCATGCATATTAAATACTTGCATAGTCAGTCTTGTTGAACCTGGAGATGCAAGTTGGTTTATTAGCCGCTCAAGGTATTGGAGGACCTTCAACCCAGATGACTTAAATACTTTTCACTTTGCTGGTTTTGGTGCAAAAAACGTTACGCTTGGTATCTCCCGTCTTCGTGAAATTATAATGACAGCTTCTGCTGATATCAAAACGACCATGATGACTCTTCCTTTACGAAATCATGTTTCTGATGAAGATTCCAAGAACTTCTGTCAAGAAATTAGTAAATTAACTCTTACAGTACGTGAACAAATTATTCGAAAACAAGTTGATTCTGGATCAACCGAAACAATACGTAAAAAAATGTATACAATTCGTATGGAATTTTATCCAAACACGAATATAAAGAAGAATTTAATATTTTGCCACGTAATATTGAGGATGCGATTGAATTAAATTTTATTAAATATCTTGAACTTTCCATAAAAAAGAATTTAAGCATGCTAGTAATATAAACGACACAGTTAGTAGGTACAAATTAATTTATTATTTTTCTTTAATATATTTAAATTGATAAATATCTACAGATGTTGCAAATTTTGATTTTGGAAAGTCACTCAGAAATCAAAGGAATTAAGAAACGAAACATTTGATGAAAA